CCGTTATGGTGCAAATGGACTCAGTGACGTCTATCTCCAGGATACAACGGTCTACATCCACTAGTAGCAGTATTACAAACTCGTGGATATGGCGAACCTCCTCCGTGTAATACTCTCTTTGACTCAAAAATGCATCTATACTATATAAATGCTGAATTGGGTGCAATCCGAACCAAATGGTTTGGACCAATCTTAATATGGTTCGATAAAATTGGATTAAGGTCTAAGTGGCTCGGACCACTTAACCTATGGTTTGAACCCACTTGGGTTGGGTTCAAGTATAGAGAGGGATATAGAAGAAAATGAAAATGAACGATTTGTAAATGATCTAAAAGGGGGTATTTATAGGCAACAAGGTGCTTTTTCGGGTGGGTGTAACCGTTTGGAAAAAACTAAAAAGTAGTTTTTAAGCAAGGTGCATTTTCGGATTGGGTGTGTCTCTTCATTATTGGACACAACCATTTATATGTGCTTCTTCACACTGGACACATGCACTCCAATTGGTTGCAATGGTTCACATGGTGTCTGTTCACCCATAGACACATCACTCCAATAGTTTTGAGTTGCATATTTTCATCCAATAACCAACCAGTAATCGCACCTGTTCAGTCAAAGACATTTATTGATGATTAATCAAACAATTTTCATTCACAATTTGTAACATTTTTTTGCAATTAAACTTATATTTATAGTATAAAAAGTATGTGTTGGACCTAAACAGATTATATAATTTAATTATAAACTTAAATCTAGAAATGGAGGAAAGGAAAGAAGAGTGTCGCTTTCTTCTAGTCATGTGAGATATTTTATTGTATATATATATATATATATAAAGTTGTTAACATATTTAGTCCTTAGCTCCAAGCGTCTAAATGTATCTGCTAGCCTTTGTGTCCATAAACTCTTATAGGTACCCCCAAACACACGGTCGAAACACAGTCATAGGTGAAGGTCCCACGTGGCAGACTAATGATTTGCTATGGGCGCATTGCACGTTCCTGAAACATCATCAGGAGAAGCTTTGTAAGAGTGGTGAGATTGTTTCTAGGTACTCTTAATAAATCTTATTTGCTCGTTGATGCAATCATGAACCAAAACCTAGTCTTGTCTCTAAAAGGAAGGAATTGAAGATATACAAGAGGAGGAAGAAAAAGAATCATATATTGGAGAAGATTATCAATTGAATAACCAATGGAAGTGATTGCAGTTTGCATTATATATATATATACACACACACATCTATCTACTGTGTCAATATCCATACTATCTAAGGGCTTTATCCTATTTCCAAACATATATATATATATATATATATATATATATATATATATATGACTTATAATAGAGAAACCAAATAAGAAATCCCGAATAAGCGTCGAAAAATGACCTGTCTTGGCCAAGTCATTTACTCGAGTTACTTTTTAAAAACATAGATTGGCCAATAAACATAAAGACAAATCTATTTACAATGTTCAGCCTTATCTTCGTATCATACTCATTACATTTTCTCTCTACCAATTACGATTACTCAGAAATTTTCTTTCACTTTTCTCTTCCAAAATTTAGCCATATCTCTCTCTCTCAAATTCTCATCATTTTCTCTCTCAAATATTTGAATATGAAAAAACCTCGGAAATTCTATTTTATTTTTCTCTCTTTAAAAATGTATGTATACGTCTCTCTCAAATTTTATTCAGTTTCTCTCCGAAATTTGTGTCTGAATTCCCTCATCTGAAATTCTTTTAAACTTTTTCTATCTAAAAATTTACCGATCTCTCCCTCAAATTCTCTTCGCCTTCTCTCTCTAAGATCTGGGTTTGACTTTCTATTTCATCTCCATGTATTTGTTTTCCCCACCATTCCTTTGTTTTCCATCTCACATCCGTCCCTAAAACCTTCAAATTTGTCTTGTGACTTTACAGGGCGTTCTCCATGACATGTCTGGTTTAGGTGCTCATTCGGGAATTAACTTTCGATTTCTCTATCATTATCCAATCCAAAAATATCAATATCTCTATTTATCATCTCTCTTTATATATATATATATATATATATATATATATATATATATATATTATCATTATCATAATATCACTTTTGTTTATATACATTTTTATTTATTTATATACATTTATTTATATAGTGATGTTTCGTTGGTTTTTATAATTAATAAGTGATGTACAAACAAATAAGAAAGTTATATATATGCTGAAATTTTATTGGCTTGTCTAATTAATAAGTGATGTACATATTATAATTAGAAAATTTATATACAGTAATTAGTAATTAATAAGTGGTGTACATAATTTAATTAAACTTTTATTTTGTGAGCGAAATGAAAATAAAAAATAAAAAAACAAATTACATATATTGTAGCAGTACGGTAAAGAACTCATTGTATGTCACTGGAAAATGATTCACAACATTTCTCATACTTGCGTGACTGGAAAATGATTCACAATATTTTCGTACTTCCTTTGTATAAATTCACGTTAGAAGTTTGCTAAGAATTGATACACGTCACTTTGACATATTATCACATGATAGTCATGGAGTTTACATTTGTTGAGTAGAAATGAAACTCCTATCCAGCCATCCTTCACTCTAATGGATGGCTAGATTGTACTGCAATCAATGGCTCAGAACTTTCATCTAAGATACTCCTATAAAATATCCTAAATATTTATCACCCTAAATAACTATCTAAGATACTCCTATAGAATTCTCAACACTTGCAGCCATATAACTAAAAATGGCTGGTTTGCATATATATATATATGCTTCATTTGTGGATGTTTTCATTCTTGGTGCATGTTAGATAGGGAGCATGGGTGCCGCATTTTACTTTCCGTGAAAGTGTAGGAATCAAAATCCACTCGGGTGAGTTTTTCTGGGATCCAAATTCTCTCTTGTGCAATGGTAAATTGACCCCTCCAATTAGTGATGCACGTTGTCAAAATGTTAAAATGTAAATCTAACATTACAAAATTTTCCTAACATAAATCACTAATTTAAAGGGACCAGTTTATTATTATGCATGAGAAGATTTTAGTCCGTCTTCGTGTGTTGTTCCTTAGGTGCGAAATAAGTGAACCACAATGAGCCACCTCTGCACTTTTTAAAATTACAGAATGGATGAACACTTAACACTGTTAGTAATAAGTTGCTTCACTGTAATAATTATGTTATTTCACTTGTTACAGAGATTACCAATACTAAATATGGCTTCTAATCACGTGATCAAAATAAAATTTTATTGTTATTTTAATCTTTTATTATATCAGTTTATGGATGTTTTCTTTGTAAATAATGATATACTCAAATCAAACACTTGTTTACTGTTCATAGTGTTTTTTTAGGTGTTGAATTTTGTAATTATAATTTTTTATTTTCTAAAATTTGAAAATAAAAAAATTGTACAAAAATCATATTGGTTGACAATTTCTAAAAATTGTTTTATGACGTCAAAATAAATTAAAAAAAAGTCTTATTTTAGGAAAACTGTCTTTTATAATTTTTTGACTTTTTAAAGTTTGTTTTCTAAATAAAAAATCAATTAATTTCTTTAATCTTGTGATGTTTAGAAATGAATATGGGTAAATGTAATGGGTTTTTGCTTTGTGTCTTGTTATGGAATGCTTTGTTGATTTCATCCAGTAAAGTACAATATTTTGCAAGTTTATTGATGCTGATTATTACTGATGGATGAAATGCAGCTTACAATTTTTTGTTAGACTTCATTTCAGTTGGTTTTATAAATTTCAATTAATATGAACTTTTTGGGTTATAAAAATGAAAAATATCTAGGTATTGTTATTTTTTATTTTTATTTTTTTTTATAGGAAAAATTAGGATATATAAGATTAACAATCCAAAGATTAGAGAGAAATTAGGTATATTGCCTGAGAAAATAAGAGAGTAGAATTTGATGGTTTGGATATATTCAATACGGATTTATAAATTTTTACCATTCGAAAAAGAAAAAGAAAAACAAAAAAAAGAAAAAAAGAAAAAAAAAAAGGAGGCAAAAGACACAGATCGATCTAAACTAATATAGAAAAAAAGTGATAAAAATTTAGAAAATCTAGTGTGCTCGATCTATAAATTTCACCAATTAATCAAACAAAATGAATGCGTCATGGATCAACGAAACGAAATGTATATGTCCGTATGGAGTGATAAAAGACTATTGCATCTTGACGCTACAACAATAAAGAGAAACAAGAGAGTTGATGATTTGCAACAGATCCAATATTTGAGTAACATTAATAGAGAAATGTATACACATTTTCTTTTTTTCGCTCTTCGAATTAAAAATGGTGAATGTTCAAATTTCCGTAGAGATAAATGGATGCGTGAATATTTTGTCAATGAAAATAATAATGAGAAAATGTTGTAGAATAACTTTGAATTCAGCAAAATGCAGGACACACAGGGTGTCGAGGTTCACAATATCCTGAGATTGGAATGGTTAGCATGTCATTGAGTCCATACTGAACTTTTACGTTGCTGCGCGATGCCCATATATGATGGTCTCTTCAATCTCAAATCTCAATAAGATGCCCAATCATATTATTTTGTTTTCCCAAACAAGGTCATTAGTATTTCTAGATTTCGTGTTTTAGAACTATTTTAGTGCTAAACAAGGATCTGTATGTGGACCTAGAAAAGGGGGAGATCTTTTAATTTATAGGGACAAACTTATATGGTAGGTTTATTTTTGTAATTTCAATGAATTTTTTTTCATAAATTTTCAAAAATTTAAAGTATAAAATACAAAAAAAAAAATTAGTGGGGACGAATTGTATCTTCATAAATTCTTAAACATTTGAAGTATAAAATGTCAATAAAAGAAAAAAAAAAAAAAAAAAATCCAGTGGGGGCATACTATTAAATTAAATAAAAAATTTGAGGTATAAAATGAAAATATAAAAATTGGGCTGGGCGGGCTCGGGTTCTTAAAGTCGCGGTCCGGGTCATCCCGTCCCGTCCCGTTATGCTTATGCACCATTAATCCCCAGTCACGGGTGCCATCTTCTCCCGCCATCTTTTCTCTCGGTATTGGCAATACTTCCCTTTTTTATTCTCAAACCCTAGCTTTCTCTTTCTCTGCTATTCTCTCCAATCTCCATCAACAATCGATTGCCGTTGCTGCTGTTCCCTCCATCAACAATCGACTGCCCCTTATAGAGATATTGAGAATATAACTCGAGATATCTCCAAGTCACCAAACAAAGCCCTCAAATCTCTGTAAGTTTCAAATCTCGAACTCATATCTCCCATTCGCTTCACAATTTGTTGTTTGTTCTTCTCAATTCTGATATTTTGTATATAAGATCGTATTTTGCGGTTTAGGGTGTTGATTTGCTTTTGAAAATCACTCATCACTCACCTCTGGCTCTGAGTACAGTACTACCACCAATCCATCTGTTTCCTTTGATAGATGAATTTTATGGATTTGAATGGCTGGCAGGGAACACTACCCTAACTTCCTTCCTCTCCCACCTCTCTCTTTTCTATGCTAAAACCAGCTATATATATATATTTCATTATGTATTGCTGCTCTATGATTCTTTACCTAGATAGAATTTAAAAGCTTAATACTTGAATTTATCCTGTAAATTTTTTAGTTGTTTAGGGGTCCCAAATGATCCAAGTCTATAACCATACCTCCTACGCTCCTATTTGGGTGTCAGAGTTGAATTAAAACATGCATCCAATCAGGATGAATGTTTTAGCCATACATAAAATTCAATGTGGGTTATAAAAAAACTTACTCAACAATGGAAAAACGCTACTAATTAAAACCAAGATCATCTATATATGTATCTGAATTGGGTTTGGTTACCTATGGGGACAGCAATCTTCATAGAAGCAAAACTGGCTGTATACAATACAAGCTGCTTGTCAAAGATAGTGAGACCCAAACGAGCATCATCAGGCACATTGTGGGTGAGATAGAGTGGGTACCATTCTTCAGTCCAATCATAGTCCACCTCTTTTAAAATAAAAAAATAAAAAATTCCCAATTTTTTTTTTTTTTTTTATCAATTCTCTTTTTGGCTATACAGTATTTGCGCGACCCTCCCCCACTCCCCAGAATGTGAATTTTAACCTGCTCCATGAGTATTGATACCTGAAATTTCATCAGGTAATGTATATATACATAGGTGAGAGAGTGTTTGATCGATTAGGTGATGGAAATTTTGTTTTTTGAAAGAGATTAGGTGATTTATATAGAGGACATATAAACCCAGATTCACTGCAATTTTATAGTACCAACTGATAGGAAAAACTTTAGATTGTTGTTAAAGACAATCTATACAGTTTTTTTTTTACCCTGTTTTTTTTTTTTTATGTCAAAACTTTCCTTTATCATCGACCATTAGTTTCCGATTCACATTTTGATTTTATATGTAATGTGGCATATCTGTGTTAAGACACAATTATCTACAAAATTAACTGTTATTGAATTGCTGTGACTAAACTGATATTGTCAAAAGTCTTATTTTCTTGTTGGGATGAGGTTAAATTATGTCATGATTGAAGGAATATTATGGAAGCATGCTCATTTTTATTTGTTTATTTATATTTTAACATTTCTATGTTTTGCTTAGGAAATTTTCATTTACTTATTTATTATTTATTATTATCTTTTATGTTTGACCCAACTTCCTCAGTTCTACATCTAATTGTAATATGGATTGCATGTCATGTGCTAATTTGGGTTTAAAATAGTTCTTTCTGGTATCTGACAAGTGTTCCCCAAACCATTTTGTCATACTTTTGAAACTGAACAGTGGTTGTATAAATTTATTCTGATAAACTGGCCAAGGCAAGAACATATTCTTGCAAGTAAATGGTCATGTGACAGTTCTATTTGTTCATTAGTACTGTTGTGTGAATCATTTTTATCTATTTAAGTATATAATCATCATAAGTGATTTTTTGGGAGCTTTTGGTGTGGCTCTTTGATCAATATGCTGGTAGAATTTTGTAAAACTGTTCGATGATATGAAGCTATTTAGCGCTACCTATCAACTTGCAATGCTTTTGTCATGTCAAAAATTGATAGCTAAGGTTTTACCTTTTTTTTTTTAGTGACCCTGCCGTGAATGAACTGTTATTGTCAGAAGTCTTATTTTCTTGCTGGGATGAGGTTAAATTATGTCATGATGATACTGTTATTGTCAGAAGTCTTATTTTCTTGCTGGGATGAGGTTAAATTATGTCATGATGATAAGAATATCATGGAAGCATGCTCAATTTTTACTTTTTGTATAACATTTCCATGTCTTGCTTAGGAAATTTTTTTTTTCTAACTTTGACCCATTTGACCCAACTTCAGGAGTTCTACATCTAATTGTAATATGGATTGCATGCCATGGTACTAGTTTGTGCTGGTTTCTCATGAGTGTTCCCCAAACCATTTGATCATACTTTTGAAACTGTACAGTGGTTTTATACTTTTATTTTGATAAACTGGCCAAGACAAAGGACATATTCTTGCAAGTAAATGGTCATGTGGCAGTTCTATGGGTCCATGGATCCTGTAATATTTAGCATTTTTATTTATTTAATTTTATAATCATCAAAAGTGATTTTTTGGGGACTTCTGGTGCAGCTCTTTGATCAATATGCTGGTAGTAATTTTTTTTTTAACTGTTTGATGATATAAAGCTGTTTAGCAATGCTTTTGTTATGTCAAATATTGATAGCCAAGATTTTTCGTTTGTTTAGTGACATTTTTCCTACATAAGCCTGTTATGGATTCTGAATGAGAGATTTTGAAAGCACATTTTCTCCTTTATTTTCATTGAAAGGATTTTGGACCTCGAGATATGTGCTCTAAAACAAGAGCAATGGCTGAAATTTATTGATAGGATTATTGAATGCATGAGAATCGAACATGCGAGGCAGAAATAAAACTCCAAAAAACTCCAATGATGCAACAAAGTGCACCAATCTCGTTCCTCAAGAACTAATGTAAGCTTCTTCTCGAAACAACACAATAATTAAAGTGTATGGCTTCTAGCTCAGATGTGTTTTGATCATAAGTGAACCTTCTTTATTATGTGGGTGTATATATATATGTAGTTGCTATGAGGGAGAAAGTCTTGCTCGTCTCCTCAAATCAATCGAAAGGTAACACTTCACGCTCTAGTTTTGGGTTTGAAAAACACATTCACAAACTAAAAACTTCATCTGATTATATTCTTGTGGAACAGGGAGATAGAGTCAGCAAGACAATTGGACAAAGCTTTGCCTGATAAAATATGGCTCAAGGTTTTCCTTTTCAATCTTTGAACTTAATGCTAGTATATGTCATGCCAGGTCTCTCTGATGGAGTTTATTTTCTATATGATTGTGTATTTGATGTCTAATTATTTGTTGTGTTTGCTTATATTAGCAACAATTTTCAATTGGGGTCAATGATGTCACACGGGTGCTTGAACGAATGCCTCCAATTTCTGTGATGGGAAACTCTGCTCAGCAGCCTCTTATAAACTGCAGAGATTGTGAAGCTTCACCAGTTCAGCTTCAGGCCAGTTATCTGACCATATTTCCTATTCCTAGTCACTGGGTCATTTGTTATTTTTAATGGATCAATTCCTTCAATTGCTTTGGCCAAGCTACTTTTGATGGCATTCGCTCATCCCATGTACTGTGTACAAAAATTTATGTTTCATCTTTCTTCTCTTTAATTAACCATCAAATCCTTGGGGTCAAAATGTCACTTAATATTCATGTCATCTCTGTGTTGCTAAGGCTGTCACTTATTATGCATTCCCAGCCAAATTGAAGTTGGAGAGAACTTTATAATTATCATTTAAAAATCAACGTTAATTCTCTTGCAGGAATGCAGAGTGAAACATGAGGTGAAAACATATCATTAATTAAAGTTGATCTTTAGACCTTGTGTACCATCAATTGTTTATTTCCCTTTCCTGATTCGTGTTGCATGTGTGGACAAACTTAGTTTGATGCATTATTTTATAGGATGTCCAGTTACTATTTGTTTTTGTTTGCCGTTACTTGAGTAGAGTAATGCCTTGTAGAATGTCCAGTTAGTTATCTTTTATTTTTTCTTTTCTTTATTTGCCGTGACTTGAGTAATGCCTCGGACTTCGTTAGAGGTTTTGAAAAGGTGGATGGAGATTTGTTGTAAACGTAAAAGTGCTGAACAGCCTCTTTTACCTTATTTGATGTATTTGGAGGGAGAGAAATAAGCCTGTATTATAAGGAGTGGAGTTCCCTGTGCATGGGCATAAGAATGTTCTCCTTAGATTTTTATTTTATTAGTTGTTGGAGTCTTTCTCTGGTTCTCATTTAAGGGTCTTTTGGGGCATATAAGGTTCTGTTGTAGCTTCGTCTTTTTGGTTTTTTACTTTGTGGGTACTTACGTAGTCAGGTTGTGATCTCTTGGCACCCTTTTGGTGAAAACTTTCATCTAGTCCATCCATCTCATCCACAACATAGATAAATAAATAAATAAAAAGAAAAAAAGCTGCTAGCCAACTTACTTATACAATTACCACCTTTTTTTCTTTATATGTTAGACGCAGATATATTCATAATGAGGACTTGAATACTGCACCGCTTCATTTAGGGTTTGCACGAGATATCACTCAGGCTAACTGCCGATGATATAGATATGGCAACCCTTCCTTGGTGGAAAACTTCATTTAGGAATCATTGAACTTAAAGGAATGCCTCCTACCGTAAGATTACTTAAGTGCCTATTTATTTAGCTCTTAAAATCAGTATTGCATCAAAATTACTACTTCAGAGAATATATATTGTTCTTTGCAATAGATTTTGACTCACTTGCAGCCTACCCAGGAAAATCTGAGAATAGCACTTCAATTATGAGTTCTTTTAATGAAAGCCTTTGAACTAATGGTGTGGTTTTGATTGATGCATATACTCGTTGACTTTTTTCTTTGTTACCTTGAATTATTGAGAGGCAATCTTAGTTATTCCCTTTTTCCCCTGATGATAATACTCAATTAATCCTTTGGTATATAAGATTACCAATTATGAAAATGACATGATGGTTCTTGTTTTGCGGATGTGTAGGCCATACTAATAGCTTCTGACTGCAACCCTCGGTGGCTGACAAAGCATCTTCCAAGCATGGCCTCTTCAAGGAAGGTACCACTGATCTTTGTGAAAGATAAGAAAGGGGGTTCTTTAAGGTTAGGTGAACTAGTCAGGTTGAAAACAGCAATTGCCATTGGGGTTAAGGTAAGGAAGTCATGATTTAGATAATAGTATTATTCATTATATAAGAATGAATATTTTATTTTGCTTATTATACGTGCTTCTTTTATTTATTTTTCTTTTTGCTCCATAAAAATAAATTTGAAGTAACATAAAATTCAACAGGAGCCCAACCACAAGTCATGGCAGGGACACCCCTAAGGGGCTAACTATTGCAGCCCTAACAAAACACACCATACACACCTACAAATTACAGACAACATCATTGAACCAACTACTTTGCTAAAAAGGCTCTAAACTCATGAACCACATCAAAACATAGACAAGGCCTAAACCAAAACTATACAAGACAACCGCTAATTGTCCAACCCAGACTACTTTTGGGCCATCTTCGATGAAGATCTAAGTCCAATTTTGACAAAGTTACTAACCTCAAGAGTATTTTAACGACTTTAAACCTTAAAAATGTGCCATGCACATTTCTACTATCAGACCCAGCAATTATTCTCATAGTCCTTCAACTTTTTCTAACCAAATATTGATGTAGCTTAGGATTCTACCAAATAATTTAGCCTTTTTAAATTTATTTTTATCTCATTCCCAATTTTTGTATTATTTTTACTTCATTGTATTACTCCCATTAGTTGTTGCATTACAACGTGGGGGATGTCCACATCATCATTTGGAGTGAAAGAGGAATCAAAATTGATTTAGGCCAATTTAAGGTAAAGGTTGATCATTGTTACTTAAAGGGATTATTAAATAGTTGTATCTTGTGACCTTTTTTTTTTTCCGCTTCTTTTTCTTTTTGTGAAGTTGAACTATCACTTGAGTGTATTGTGCTTCAAGTGTTACCTTTCTCTCACAAAAACCCTACCTACAACCGTTAGAAGTGAAATATTTTCATACATTTGAAGATTGAGGCAAGGCTGTCACCAACTTCTTCCATTCTCTCTTTTCTTTCTTTCTCATTCTCTCTCTTTTGGCCTTTCTTTTTCTCTTTTCATCTTTTACTCTTGCCGAGGGCACACGTTTAAGGTTTTTAACATTTTTTCATAATTGTTTTGATGTCCCTTTCTTGAGAGGCTTAGCAGAACATGAGACGCTCTCCACTTTGATGAGTTTTTTTTTTTTTTTTGTTTCCCACTTATGGGAAGATTATGTGACATAAGTGAAAAGTTGTGGTTGATTTCATTTCCTCCCCCTAATGGTGGAGAAGATGGTAGGATAGGTTCAAGGGGTGGATGTGTGTTTGCTGGAGGTGGTTAAACAGTTGGTTGATGGTGGCACGGTTGTGGAAGAGGAGGGATAAGAGATTAAAGAAGAGGGAAGGAGGCTTCATTTAATTTCCATTGGTTCATTTTCTATATTTTTTTGTTGTCTATTAGTCTAGAATGTTAGAAAGTAAGTAGGCTTGGGGGGTTGAAGTGATTCACAATGATGGGAGATCAAAAGACTATTCCATATTGGACTCTTGCTGCCGAATCGAGGGGGCTTGACTTTTATCAGGCTCTAAATGCAGTTCAACTTGTTTTCAATGATAAACACATTTAGTCGGTGTTCGAACACCTTTGCAATCAATTGATCCTGCATAGACAACCAATGCTTGACCAAATCAACCATAAGGGATTGCTATGGCGTAGATATTTGGAACCACACAAATGATCCCACTGAATTGGCATTACTTGGTGCCTTAGTGTGCTACAAGTGCTCTTCATATACAGTCCGAACAATCTATGCTTCTTGTTAGGTACTGATAATTGATCGCTCATGTCCTTTGAGTTCAATAGATTCAGCTGAATTTGTGTTGGGCCAACCCCACTGAGCTTTCAACTTAATATCCTAGACTTTTTAATACATGTCCAACCTCACATCATAGATCACCTTTCTACATACATACTGATTAAAGGGCCAAGAAAATGCCAATTATCAAACCAAAGTGATGTTTTCTGCCCATTTTCAATGTCGTGGTTAACAAAAAACCTTGCAGAGTCACTAGGCATAGGTTATCCTAAAAGCTGCCATCTTTGACAAATGTTAATAAACATACATTCTACCGGATGAACATATAAGGCTGTAATCCAATCAGCAACTCTCCTCCATCAACTGGGTTACATAAGCTAGCCCTTGATCTTTTTGCCTCGGTTTTCTTCATGCCAATACCAGATGACAGGAATGTACCATAACATATTCAATATCCTTCCTCACCCGTTGGGAAAAATAAACACATTATATCTTAGTGTTGAATCCTAAAGTCAAAGCCTGATTAGCTGTATAATTCTAGCAAATGAGAGCTGTTGTAAGTGCCCATGATTATTTTCTAGACGTTCTATATGTTCTACAATCAATCAGCATGGGAACAGCTTGGTAGAAATTAAGGGAACAACTTGCCCAGCAACCGAAGAATCTGCTCCTTTCCATTATCTTCCTTTCCAAAAGGAAGAACCTAGCCTTATTCACCATTAACATGAAGGCTGATAGACATCTCATGTTCAAAACAGACCTTTTGTCTCATTACCAACATCTGTGCATAAAACACCGATAACTTCTTTGCTGACAAGCACATCTTGAGTGATAGCTGAAGTCGCCACTACTTACTCGAGCTTTAGATAGACCTGTGAGCTTCTCTTCCAAGATGACAGATAAGTAAGGATAGAGATGATTTGACCTGTGAGCTATCCGCAATCATGACAAGTAAGTGGGGTGATAGAATTTCCCTATCTCGATCCTCTCGTTTTTTGAAATCGCCAGTCAACTCCTCATTTACGACTTCCGAGAACTTAATGAGTTATTACAAGTCAAAAAAAAAAACTTAATGAGTTATAATAATACACAAGTCTTAGATAAATGCACTCCACTTTTAAACATTAGGGACACACCTTTATCATTTTTTGAAGGGAAAAAAAAAATACTAAAAAGTACATTTTTCAAAAGTAGTGGAGTGCAGATTGTAGCTCCATGTTAGTATTGTTCTCTGGGGTTGAAATGTCTATATACTTGTATAGATGCTGCACGCATGCGAACACACAAGCACATGTATATTTACCACGCTCTGGGAATAGACTTTTTTCATCTACAAATATTTTATTGACTTTTCTCTTCATGTAGGCTAAAGGAAACGCTATTAATCAACTTGTTGAGGAAATCATCCGTGGCAATGAAATACATGACAGAACTGATTGCCTGAACTCAACTGAGATGCCTGGTGCACCCTGTCAGTAACCATATTTGATCATCGGCTTATCAACATCCAGTCGCAGCAGAAGGGGACATATTAAACATCAGCACAAAACCAAGTGACCATAAAGCATACACGATGCATTGGACCATCCATCGTGGTGCTCATTTTCCCCTTTTCCCCCTCTTTTCGGACGGGAAATTATTAAGTAGTCCAGGATCATAAGCCACTTGGTTGTTCAGTCCAATCAAAACTACTTTGATTGATCCGCCTATCTTAGTCGGAGAGTTTTGATTAGACTAGATCACATGGTCCAGGTCCATTTAATAATTTCTCACTAAGCTATCAAATCAAATGCTATCAGCTCTAAGCTTGTCCACATGTTTGAAGCTATATAAGGCCTTAAGAATGCTATTCACCATTCTTAAGAATGTATTATGTACATATTTGGTGATGATACCATTAAAATATTCATGTCCAGACATGCTGTTTGGGGCTTTGCTTATAAGTCATGTCATGTTCTTTAGTTATTTAACCTACTGAATGAATTGAGACCCCTTAACCACCTCTATTCTCGTTTGATGAGTTTACTTGTCTCGGAGTGTCTTGTTCTTTATTTATTTATTTTTTACCATAATACCTTGTTTGGACTCACTATGTATCATTTGATAATACCTTTCGTTCAATTCTTACTTCACGGTCAAAACTCAAGGCCCTTATCTGATGATTAACAATCAAGATTTTGTTTCCAAGTCTAATTGTTGTAAAGAATTCTGGCCAAAGAATTAGAATAAGTATATGATGAAAACTATAAGAAAAGGTAGCAAAAAAACCCTTTTTTTTTTTATTTTTTTTTATTTTTTTTTTATTGATATCACAATTTCGTTATATTTGAATGGTGTGTTTCTTCATTATAAGAATGACTAAAGAATTGAATGCATCTTTGCTCTGTTAAAACAAGCAAGTCAAGTTCATGGCCAGAACCTGCTCTGTTGACCATAAGGAATTAAAATGTCAATGGCTCATCTAGTAACAGTTTCAATATGAAACAAGCAAAAGTCAAGTCCCATCATGCTTCCAGGAATTGTTTTGAGCTTAGAGGAGCCCTGTTGAACAACAAATGACTACTGAATTGAATGTAAAAAATACAGGCTTGCTAAAATGTAAATTTAGGGATCCTACGGTGTTCTAAACTTCAACAATCAATCCCAATAGCTCAGGCAACACTACTAGCAGCCAGTTCTAAAATTCACCCACAACTAATCTATTTAAATCAAAAGGTAACTTCCCGGGAAAAAAATAAAAATAAAAATAAAAATAAATAAATAAAATAAATAAAAATCAGCATGATTCTTCCCATTTGAATTGTTACCTCCCTAAAAAAAAATATCTAACAGATCTCTCCAACAAGATGAAGCGGCTAGTCCTAACCTTAACGTATTTAAATATTTCACCAGCGGTTAGTCCTAACATTCACATGAATCTTCTCAGTTGATTGATCATACAAAATGGATGTGTCCATATGGAGTGATAAAAAATTCTTGCATCTTGACGCTACATGAACAAAGACAAAAAGAGAGCCAAAGGCACCAACAGGCTTGTGGCCTAGCGATACAAGGCCTATACTTCTCAAAGGGAGGTCAGGGGTTCGAACCTCAGTGGAGGCAGTGTGTGTGAGTGAGTACCAACTACGAAAAAAAAACAAAAGAGAGCCAAAGGCCATATGTTGAGCAAACTCGATTCTGCATATCCTATAATTAAGTAGTACAACGAAATATATAAATGCAGTTCGATGGAAAACTTTAAACGTTGCACGGAAATACTTTAGAAGTTTAAGGATAAGAACAGTTTGATGGAAAACTTTAAACGTTGCACGGAAATACTTTAGAAGTTTAAGGATAAGAAGTTTGCACTTTGAACTTTTTCCTTGATAGGCATCAAATGGAAAATATTTCCATGACACAGACTCATGCTTACACAAGCAAGCATTTCAGCTCACATCTGCTGGATGACCCGGTTCTCCTTCCACTAGCCACTTCCATCAAGTTGTCCATGGGAGGCAAGATGCGCCATGTATTGCTGTAGTATAAAAAATTAAAAAACAAAAGGTCAAAACAGGTCCTTCAATTTGGCAGGTTTTGTTGTAATATGATTAATATCTAAACTATTAAGACAGAGAGACAGGACATTGATGTCATACCATAATATATATTTAATGTATAAGTCATACATGCATAAATTGGTAGAAAGCCAAAGTTTGGTATTGAAGTGGGATCAGATACTCAGTTTGGCTACCAACCATACCTAGTGGCAGTTCTTCACTGCTTTCCTTGAACAATCTGCCATTAGCAGCTGTGGAATTTATTTATTTTTATTTGCTGGGCATGATTCAGCTACCAGAGGAGAGAGAACTTCCAAATAATATGAAAATTGTTGTTGTTCTGAAAAAATTTCAATCACAGCCATCCTTTTCTAATGGGAAAATATTGACCAACGATGGTCCAAGTACAGCCATGTACAATAGCTTTGAGTTCAGCATTTACTACAAGAGGTTCACAATGTCCAGATATTGGAATGGCAGACATATCACAAAGTTCATACTGAACTTTTACCTTGCTGATGCATATGTTTCCTTCAATCCCAAATCTCAACATGGCAAGTCAAAATACGCTCAATCATGTTTATTTTGCTCTCCCAAACACAATCATCAATATATCTAGATCACGCGTTTTAGAAATATTTTAGTACAGAACAAGGATCTGCCTTTGCAATAACCAGAATGCAAAAACTTTTAAATAGAGTAAGTCATTTAACATACATAACAGATGAATAAGCAAGCATGTGACAATAAACAAGAGCATAGAATTTTATACGATAAATGACTTAACTGAAAAATAGAAACAGAGCACAGAGAGAAAATTAGCCTTGTTGATCTCAAGATGAAACTTTTTAATATGGCATTCCTAGACTAAAGGGAAACTATAATGCACAAGGCTCTCGCCACAGCGTAATCTACAGATTTATGAAGCCTTACCTTAGCAATACGGAGATGCTGTTTCTGTTATGAACCCGTGACCTTCAAATCACAATGGAGCAACCCTACCATTGGGCAACACCCTCAATATGACATTCCTAGATTCCCAACTACAATTGCAAAAAAGATCCCACGTGCGAAGTGTTGTATCTAGCTTCCAGTCATAGAATCTGGTGATTATCAGTATGGTTCCCATTTTGCGTGACTATGCAACTTAAGCCCCATTACATTCCAAACTAAATTGCTTCAGCTTTTGAGGCCATAGGCAAGGGCATTACCAAAAGTTTTGCACCCATTTCACCAGTCATCTAACTTTCAAAATAGAATATAATTTTTTTATATTTTTTGGATAAGATTGTATTAGAAAGTGTTCAAACGGGGAACACATCCCAAAAGGAACTACACAAGGCCAAAGAGGACCACTAAACTCTCAAGGAGTCCAAAAAATCAACTATCTCCCCATGGATTTACAATTTCTCCCAAAAACCCAACAAAAAGGCTTCGGTGGACTTTGGAGCGCCAGGCTTCGACTCTCTGCGTCTACTAATTTAACTTCTAACACTTCTTGCCTAGTAAAAAAAAAATTCTTAACTTATCAGAAAAAAAAAAAAAAAAAAGGGAGAGCAAATAATAGAGAATTTTAGTGCCCCGATAGGAGTTTCCTTGCCATCAAAGGATCTCCTATTCCTTTCTTTCCATGGACACCACCAAACACATAGAGGCACTACCCTCCAAAAGTCATCTTTCCACTGAGTGATCGAACCAGATTAGCCCGTTTTCTTGGGGCGAGGATTGAGAACCTTTGTCAGGTCAAGGAACCAGCTCTCATTCAAGTTGGGGATGGAAATTTTTCAAGATTTGGCAAGGCTTTGTTCTTCTATTGATGGAGGCCCTTCCAGGCAAGGCTTTCTTCTTCTGTGGTTCCTCAGGCTTTCATCATGCCTGCACAGATACAACCAGCCCTGCAGGCCACGGGCTTGGGCATCACTATACAACATCTCCAGGCCTCAATCAAATCCAAGTTACCCAACAATAAGCCCCAACTATCTTGGGCCGCAGGGCAACGCAGCATAAGATGATAAACCATTTCCTCATCTCTCTTGCACGTACAAGCACCATTGAACAACAATCTGTCTCCTCCTCCTTAGATTGTCCACAGTCAGAATCTTCCTCAAAACAACCGTCCAAGCAAAAAAAGCCACCTTGAGAGGGGCCTTGGAATGCCAAACAGCCTTCCACGGAAAAGAAGGGCTTGAGACATTTGTAGAGAGATGGCACATCAATGTGCCCCTCTGTGGAAGGAACCCACACCTGGAAATCAACACCAGCTCCCACAACCTCCTGGCGGTAAAGCATCACCAAAAACCCCAAAACATCCTCCATCCCCTAGTCCTGGAAATGCCTTGAAAAACAACCATCCCAGGTAGACCTTCCGCCATCAAGCCGATATCAGTTAACCACCAAAGCATTTCTATCCGTGGCAATCCTGAAAAGTCTAGGATAAGTGCAAGCCAAAGACGGTCCCAACACCATACATCCTCGCAGAACCGGATACCCCTACCATCTCTAACACTGGATCTGATGTGTTTAGAAAGTTCATCCCACCCCTTCCGTATGAATTTCCAAACACCAACACCACTTGAGATCCTCACCTCCAAAGAGCACCACCCTTTCCTCTCCTCTCCATATCTGGTAGCAATCACTCTCCTCCAAAGTATGTCTCTCTCCACCCCAAACCTCCATAACCACTTCCTCAAAAGGGTCTCGTTGGCAGGCTCAAGTCTCCTGATACCCAAACCTCCCAACTGAATCGGACTACAAAACCACTCCCAGCAAACCAAATGATACTTAAATTCCTCCAATCCTCCCCCATACCAACCCAGAGGAAATTCCGGTGAAGCTGCTCAATTCGCCTAGCCACGGAAGAGGGAATCTGAAAAAGAGATAGAAAATATGTAGGAAGGCTCACCAACGTACTCTTCATCAAAGTAACCCTCCCTCCTTTCGATAAATATTGCTTCTTCCTCTTTGCCAACCTCCTCTCAAACCTCTCTGCCACGGGATCCCAGCCACCCATTCTATTGCGTCAAAGAAATAAAGTATCCCCACATCAGCCCATTTTTTTTGGAAATTTCATGTCACTGTATCTCAAGACCAACTTTTGGTATCACCAAATGCTATCCCAAACTCCCATTTCTTATTTTAGAAGTCATTTTACTAGAGCGTGCTTGAAAGAGCAATACAAACTGAACAATAAATTTGAAAACTATAGCTACTGCCGTTGTTGTCCAGAATAGAATTTCAATGGAACGGTTTCATTTTCACATTCCTCCCAGTCTCACCACCCACCCACCCCACCCCACCCCTGTTTTTTTGGAAGCCCTATTCTTAAGGATTTTTAGATATTACATATGATCCACAAGATGCAATGGAATCATATAGTTTTTCCCGTTCTATAAACTTAACAAAACCAGAAATACAAAAGCAGATATGGTGAAGATTGAAGGTCAATAGATACCAAAGAATGGACAATTCTATTACCTAGACTTGATTATTTATAGGGAACGACGGATTGAAAATGATATTGCACATGGATTCAAAGAAAAATTGGTTTAGTCTAGGAAGCACGGACATGCCTGAAAGGTTGAAGTGTCTGTGTCGGACATGGTACGGAAACGTGTAGAAGAAGCCAAAAAACGTGTCTGAAAATGTCTCTTTTTGGAGACGTTGCGGACACACTGTGTACACGCCATCGACAAATGACGAACATGCTGACACACCGCGGACACAATTGTCTGATTAAAAGAGGCTTTTCAACAAATTTGAAAAAATAAAATAAAAGAAAAGAAAAGAAGATGGGTTAAAATATATAGAATGTGCAATTCTTTGAAAATTTTCAATAATATGGAGGTCAAAATGTAAAATTAAAAAATACATTAAAATTAAAATGTAATTTACCAGGTAATATTATTTACTTGATCTTTTTTTAGTTATTACTTTTGGAATTGTAAAAGACCACAAAGTAAAAATGGTAAGAATCTTGCTCTCTTTAGCAACCAAGCTTTGAAGTTACTATAACGGATTATCAAAACTTGACTGCCAGTGAACCTTCTTCTTCTCCTTCAATAAATCTTCTTTCCCTATCTTTCTTTCTTTTCTTTGTCTTCTTCATATCACAAACCCCTTTCTTCCTCTACAGGTTCTCTCTTTTATTGTCAACAATAAGCACTAATTTTAGAAAGGATATAGGAAATCTACTTCAGCCCATTCTCTCTCTCTCTTCTTTTTTTTCTTTTCTTTCATTCTCTATACAACTGTAATATAACAAATTTATAAATAAGTTTAGAAGTTATACTTCAGCCCATTCTCTCTTCTTACATGAGAGAATTGTTGTTTTAGTTCATTAGTTATTGTGGTATAAGATTTTTTATTCTTAATTTGATGAAAAGTAATATTAGTCTTATGAAATATATATGTAAGCCGCGTCCGTGTTGCAATTTTTAGGATTTTTCGTGTCATATCCGTGCTTCTTAGGGTTTTTGATGAAATAGTGCTTGTGTGAACAATGTATACCTATAAATCTAGAAAGAAAATTCTATAAAAAAGCGAGTAAACCAAACATGTTATGCCTTATAGGACAGAATAATTATTATTTTTTTGATAAGTAACTTTATAGGACAGAATATTGCGACTAAGAAATAACATATTCATAAATTGACAAGGATGAAAAGTAAATGTTGATATTGATGCATGATAAAACAAGAAAGATGGTGGAAGTAGCACAAATTGAAGATTAAAATGGTTCTGCACTACGTAAGGCAGACTAATTACTTCACCAGTGAGAATAGTAATGCTAAGTAAAAGGAAAAATAAAATTAATGTGGATCGAAATAGTAGGCGACGAGTGAAGACATGATAGCAGTAATTCAATAAAACTTATGAACCTAGAGAACGCAATGACAAAACAAGATTCACGTAATGGATTCCAGATAATTGGGGACAATGCTTGTTGAAATGAGTACTGTATCCAAATGTTTTCCAACTTTTTCTACTAAAATAGTATAATCCTTGATATACAAATGACAAAGAGAGAACAGATGGCAACCAACGATCATTTTTGTCAACTCACCGCATGATATGCATATGGCGATTTCCCTTGACGTTCAAAATGTTTAGCTATGATGGACCATTCGATTGGTCCCCACTCTTCCTCTTCAAAGCAATTCCCAAGTGCAGCTTTGTATAACTAACAACAAACCAAAAACTTCATTGTCACATCCATACCTCAAACAACATATATCAAACCCAGAAAACCGAACCCTAAAAAATAAGTACTTACGCACCTTAGCATGATCAGTAAGAAGCTCAGTTCCAGCTGGGTATGATGCATAGTATTGGTCAGCTCTAGAGTACCCAGCTCTAGTCCTGCAAGACCCAAATCAAGAAATGGTTAAAACCCAGATACATTTAACCGTTTTACATGCCATTTAAGTGAGACGCGACTCACGTATTGTTCGTATAACCGTAGCTCAAGACCGCGACGAAGCAATAGAATCCAGCATAGGACACCAATCTCCTAAACTTTTGAATCTTCAGTATTTCTTTATACCCATCATAGAGCCTCATGATTGATGATCGTATGAGGTACATATAATTCCTGAAGATCAAAAAGATGTCCACTTAGGCATTGAATCGAACATCTTGTGTGCGTCAATTGCGATGGAGGCACAGTCAAGGTTTCCGAAGGAGTTGGCGTCGACGGACAAGCTTCTGAAGTGGCCGATGGGAGCCACCAGGTTTGCTTTGGGGTTGGACTCGTCGCCGCCAGTCGGAATCAATGGTCACGGTGGGGAGGTTAGCTGTGGAGAGAGAGAGACAGAGCGCGCTCAGAAAGTGGTGAGAAGGGAAAACATGTGAGGGGATTTCGAGCATAATTTTAGGGCAAGCCAAACGACGTCGTCTGGGAAATTTATTTTTTATTATTATTATTTTTTTTCTTTTCATAGGGTCTGTTTTTTCTGTCCCCTACTCTGGCCCTCCCTCTTTCTTTAATTTTATTCCGGAAAAATTACACTGATGATATTTGGTATATATATATTCCTTTTTATTTGTCATTTTAGACTAACCAGTATTTTATTATTACTTTTCAAGTTAGAAAAAAAATAACTTACTTTTCTCCAACCACAATTAAATCCCATTGACTGCTTCTCTCCATCTCCATGGGGATGATTTAGTGTTTCTGGTAGCCTAAACCATCACGACTATATGGATTTCCAAAAAATTGGGGCATTGATTCAAAGATAGTTCTGAAATGTCACCGAAGGCATTAAAAGGAAAGATAATTATGGGATTGTGCCTAAGAATATAATGCAACTATATAGAACTAAGATGAAGTCACTTGAGCAAATTGAGGGTAATTACGCTGATTCATACTAAAAGCTATATATATATATATATATATACACACACACAAATGAAATTAAGAAGTCAAATTCTCAAAGTTTGGTGATAAATTGACACTAATTTTAAAAAGGGAATATCATCCACCACGTATCCATATAAATAAATAGTCTACCTTTTATATAAATTTTTCTTAAATAAATAAAACATTTCACCAGTTTAATTAGAACTTGAAAAAATGCAGGAAAATGTGATATTAAATAACTTGGATACTTATTGTAAAATATCTACGACTACCTCTTATTAGAGAAATAAATAGTGGCAGACATTTTTCGTATTTTCATTGTTTGGCAATCACGAATAATCCTTTTTTCATTCTCGAGTAAAATAATTCTAAATAGTGATAGGTATTCTCCGTATTTCCATTGTTTGGTGATCTTAAAGAATCCTCCCTCTATTTTTTTGGCCATGAACCTTCATTGAGAGGTTTATGTCATTGAGATTAATAAAAGAATACTCTCGAGATGAATAATTATACAACAAATAAAAGACATTTATTTATATTTTAGACATGGTGGCTTCATCACTCCCTTGAGAGGGATGCTTACATGAGTATATTAATATGAAAATAATACATGGAGATAAAACTATTTTTCATTAAATGAGAATGAAAACTACTAAAATGAAAAAAGAAAATATTTGCTCAACACACTTAACACTCCACCTTTTTTTCTCTCTATCTCTATGTATTTCACTCCCTTGTTTTTTTGGCCAAACATTTGGCTATTTATAGCTTTCTTTTCTAATTTTTTTATTACAATTTTTTAGTAGAACTTATTTTTCCAACTGTACTTACTTCTTTGACTTCTTCAGTGATTGGATGTGCACCTGGTTTTGAAGTTGAGACCTTTTAGAATTTTGTTAATGCATAACACCAACTCTCCAACAACGCTCCTTGGGTACACTTTTGGTTATGAATAAATATAACCTTCTTTCTGCTGCATATTTGTCACTTAAAAAAAAAAAAATACATTGTAGATACAAAAATTTTATGGATTTTTGTTTTGACAAATTGACCCATCAAATATGGGTCTCATGTTTAATTAAATTATTTAATTAGTCCAAACTTAGTCCACTTAAATTATTTAATTAGCATAGCCCAGATGATTAAATAAAAAAATAATTATTCCTAATAAAATATATTTGGAATAATTATTTTATAGATAATTATCATAATATAGCCGACCCGGCCCAGTTATGATTTTGTCCTTATCAGGAGAGGACACATGTTATCATCCTATTAATTCAAGAAGCCTATAAATAGAGGCATGGATGAAGGAGGAAAGGGTCCAGAAATTGAAGAGGTCTAGAAATTTAGAGACCCAGAAATTCCAGAGATAAATACAGAAGTTCTGCCAACATTTATCCCCAACATCCAAATCCAAAGGTGAAGAACACCAAGCACATCAAATCGTGTCATTCTTCATCAAATTCCACGGTGATCAACAACAAGCATATCAAATCGTGCCGTTCTTCATCTAAATTCTACGGTGATTAAAGATCAAGCTCGTGTAGCCCTTGAATATTAACAAAGGAGATCGAATCAGAGGACCTTATTCTTTGTAAAGAATATTATTATGGGGGATTGTACTCCAATTTTCTCAAATTAATAAAATATTATTTTTGCTCCCTATTTTGTTCTTTATTTGTAGACTACGAAATTTGTGTGTACAAATTTTTGGCACGCCTGGTGGGACATCCTTTGCCTCTCATCTTTTTTTCCTACATCAAATCCTCAACAAATTCATCGTCAGAGTCTATGACTTCCAACAAGATTCAGACGAAGAGCAAGAATACCCCCAAGGATATCGCAGTCATGATGGACAACATCATTACCACCACAAAAGGTGGCAAGAAGGTTGCAACTTCATTAAGTGGTACCAACATCTCTGCAACCCCAATGATGCGGAGCATAGCCAAAGCATCCGTTCCCACCAAAAGGCAACACGATGCAGTAAAAGTAAATTCCGTCAAATCCGCCAAATCCGTCCACGTAACAACTTGATGAGCACTGAAAAGTGCGCATTTAAACCCCTTAAACTTGAGTATTCTAGGACCTTTATCTATCTTATTTCCCCGTTTTATTCTAATTTCATGTTATTGCCCTTTTCAGGTGCTTATCCCAAAAATAAGTCAATTCAGCCAAATAAGAACATTAAAGAAGTTAACTCAAGCTGAATGGAAGAAAGGAGTAAAATGGAAGCTAAATGAAGCAAAGTGTGTAAATTCAGCATGTTCGATCGATCTTAGCATTTCTTCGATCGATCAAAAGTTCATCGATCTAAACAGTTCAAGATGGATCCAAGCCCTTGTCCTTATCCAATAGAATCCACCAAGTTCGATCAATCCAATAGTTTCCAGATCGATCGAAATGATTCGATCTTATCCACACCTACCACTTTTGTCTTCTTCCCAAAAATATCTCAGAGATTTGTCTTTATTCGAAAAGGCGCCGCCAAGGGTGATCGATCTCTGCAGCATTTGATGGATCTCAGCCATGTTCGATCGATCTCAACACAGTTCGATCGATCGAACTTCCTCAAGTCCGAAAAAAAAATAGATTCCAGCTCATTAAAAGTTGGCTCATAGTGCAATCATTGGAGGGACCTTGGTGTACGAGCCTAGACCATTGGGTGTGATATTTGACCTACCTATATAAGGATTGAGAGCCACTTTTAGAGCATAGTTGTTATTCATAACTTGTAACATTCAACATATTTCTTATCTTGGAGAGGAGGCTAAAGATTAGAGAGTTTTACACATTTTGGGAGTTCTTCCATTCTTTTAGGGTTTCCATCAAGAAGGAGGTCATTCCTACCATGGAGATAGCCCTTGAGGGTTGGATGACTATTTCAATGAGTGGCTAGACATCTACTTGGGGCTAGAGTAGCCCTTAAGTTTGCTTCCTGACTTAGTTCTTTGTATATTTTTGGGGATTTATTTGTAACAATGTTTTGATCTTGGATTTATATATATATCTTGTGGTTTCTACTTGATGTGTATGGATAAATGCTTTCAATTGATTATCTACTTCTAACCATATGTCTATGTATGCTAGAATGGATGATTCATGTGCTTTTCTCTAGATTTAGTGAAGTTTATGCATGTCTATGTGTATGAATGAAGTTAATCTAGAGATGGTCAAAACATAGAGCTTAATTGAACACTATTGCAATTTATTTGATGGTTCACACTTGTTTCTTGATGGATTGTACCACACGTTTAGCTTACTTAGTTTAATTTCATGTCTTTAGTGTAGGTGTAGTGTAGTTGCTTTAAATTCATAGATAGGTGGACAATCTACTCCTATTCCTTGGTGTTCCATACTTATGAATGCATTTGGTGTATGTTCTAGATAGTTGTGTGTACATAAACTGTGGTTTCATTGAATGAATTTTGGTCTTATTTGATAGATTGTGCTTTCCATTTGATTTGGCTTGACAATCTATCTTTATTTGCCATCCATGCCTAGTTTCAATTAATGTCACACACACACACACACAAGTTACAAGTCAATCTCCCCATTAATATACAATTGCTAGTGTCTAGTGAAGTCAAGCTTAGTGGTGAGCTTTAGTACCCCAAGTCCTCACCTCTATATTTTTCTCTACTTTATTAATCATTGAATTTTGTTTACTTTAATTTCAATTGCATAATAGTTTAATCAATCAATCCAACTAATCTTTGATCACTCGACCTACTAACCCTATATATTGTTTCCATCGTAAAGGCACCCACAATCCCTTGGGACGATCCCTACTCACCCTAGCTATATTTTTAGTTAGAGGTAGTAGTGGCTTTCATAAATTTAAAACTTGGCCACATTGCACACTCACACTCTTAGTTTATATTTTTGCAAACTTTTGGTGTAACGGTACGGCACATATTAAGTTTTTGGCGCCGTTGCCGGGGTTTTAATTGGCAACGCCGTATTTTAGAAACAAATAGGAATTAATACTCTTTTGATCATGTCTTTTCTTTATTTTCTTTTTAGTTATTTATTGTATTTGTTCTTGGTTGACTAGGTGCATTAAGTGAAGGAAGTTAAGTAAAGGAGAATTCAAAGCAAGGAGCTAAGCAAGGCAAAAGGACTAAAAATCTAAAAAAAATTGCAAAGCAAAGCAAGGCTTGAAACTTAAAAGTTAAATTGAAGTTACTTAAGGACCATTTGTGAGACATTTCTAACTCAATCTCTAGTTAAATTGTTGGCCGGGTGGAGGCTTGCTTTTCATTTCTTAGATAAATCGTGAGCCCGCGTGGAGGCAATTTACTTTTCTTTGCATATTGTTCAAGCATGCGAGTATGGGATCATTGTATGTGAAGATTTGTTGATTTGTTGTGGGGGCAAAGTGTTTGTTACTTGCTTATTTCTTGTTACTGTTTGTGCTAGTGCATGCACAGTCGTAGGTCATTGAATCCTACTTTTGTCCCTCTTAATTTTCATCTTGAATCGGTTGTTCGTAATCATAGGGGAAGAGGTAGTTCTCATCACTCCATTTTATCAATAGAGGAACAAAATAATGACCATGTGGAGTACCTTGGTTATATAGACCAACAAGGCATCCTCCACCCTAATGTACATCATGAAAACATC